AATATGAGTGAAATTAAAATTTATTACAGTGTGTATGTGATGCATTTGCTAGTAGTTGTTTAGAGCTGTTAACAGTTAATAAAAAGTTATTGAAATTTTGTAGGGCTGATATAGTGTCTGGAAACTAAAGGTCCTGCAGACCCTCCTAAACAAGATAGCGAGTTGTCACTATGTCTTGAATAGTCACAAAGTACTGAAGAAAGTTTAAAATAACCTTTTTCATTTAGTCTAAACTGGACATAAAAGGTACAATTTGTGCTACAGATGAATCACTCCCTGTAGTGATGTAAATTAAGCAGTAACAGCCAATTATATTCAAATGCGGGTAACATAGTGTATGACTACACATTTAATAGAATGAGCAAATATTTTGGCTCAGTTATTCTACCATTGCATAGGTTTAAAATATCAGCTGACAAGAAAGCAAAAGCTGGAATATCACTTTTAAATAGAGGTCTCGAAAAATTAACAATAGGGGTGAATGCCAGAAGCTCTCATATTCTAAGATTTAAAATCCTCAGTTTAAATACTGTCAAAACTAATTTGCATTCTGGTAATAAATATGGGAAGAAGAAATTACATTTAAGCTCAAAATAACTAGTTAATCATTACATTTAAGCTCAAAATCATAACTAGTTAATCATTGTAAGATTCTTGCAGATTTTTTATGTGCACTAACATATATAATTCATGGAATAATTACAAATTTGTTGTGATGTGCTCTCTTTAAAAATTGCACAAAATTCTATATCTAAGTCTGGACTTTGTGCAAACTGGTTTGGCAAGGAAAAATCTCCAGGCACCAGGCAATATCCAAGCTATTCGAGATACTGTTATGAGAAGTCCTTCTTGGTCAATCTATCATCACTCAGCATCTTTGCAGTTGCGTAGTTCAAGTGTTCCAAAAATATTGGTGTACAGGACTTGCTGTGCCATCTACACAAGTTGCAGATTGTCCAGGAACTGAAACCCAGCGATCATGTTATGTGATGGCAATTTTCTGAATTAATGCTTTGAAAGATTAACTAGGACAAGGATTTTATTAACAAACTGCAGATGTCAGATGAAATCCATTTCCCATAGTGTTAATTTACTATGTAGTTTGCAAAGTTAGCAAGGGATGCTGCTGTAGTATTAATTTACTGCATGGTGTGCTGTGTCATCGTATGGTGTGATGGGCCCTTATTATTATTATTATTATTTTAAGAATGAGAATGGCCATGCAATTACAGTCATATCGAATTATTACGTTGCCATACTTGAAACCTTTGTTGTGCAACAACTACGGATATTTCCACGCATTATCGACTCAGCCTGGTTTCAAAAAGATGGATCAACATCCTATACGGCATGAATATCGATAGTTGTTGTACGTCATTTGTTTGGGGAGTGTGTAATTTTGAAAAATGGTAGTATTCAATGGCCTTTCAGATCCCCTGATTTGTCAGCTTGTGATTTTTTTTTTTTTTTTTTTGTTGGATCATCTTGAAAGCAAAGTGTTCCTTAGTCGACCTGCTACAATGGGAAGAATTGAAAGACAAAATCTGAGAAGCAATTGCCGGTATTCCAGTTAAGATGTTACATGAAACCATGAACAATGTAACGAAAAGTCTCTCTTTTTTTTTTTTTTTTTTAAATCACCCAGTACGTAGCTCCAACAATTTCTGTCTAGCAACAGCATCTTTACATTCCATCATCCCAGCTGTCATGGTTCAACTGTTCAAACCCTGCTGGTACTAATGATATCTTCAGTTATACTTGAGGACAACTGCTTGAACCAACTTCTAACACAAGGCAGCTTCTTTTCGTAGATAACAGCCCTCTTCACCTACATTCCTTCAATGCTGGATTAAACTGGGCCCCATAACGTGTTGGCATTGGAGTTGTAGCAAAAGCATACTTTACCTTGCTTAAATAAAAACTGATACTAATCTAAAATAAAACTGGTTTTAATGTAAAGGCTACTATTGCAGCCTAGTTTTTTAAATTTAAGCTATGAAATAAATATAAAAGAGAAACGAAAAACCAGCGAATATCCTTGCATTCACCGATTCAGGCATATAAATTACACAAAATCGGCCAGTCAGCAGAGACCAGGTTAGTTTATCGCTGACTGACCTCTGATCTAATTTTCACAAGGAAAAACCAAAAAACAGAACATTAAGTCGATGATCAAAACTTGCCCATACGACAATTATCAGAAAGTTACTGTTCATTAATTTGTATTTTCAAGCAGCTTAATTTGGGGAATAAGTTCATTTAAGTTAAGGTAAACCATTGTTGAAAATTCTTTCTCTCTCTTCCCCCCTCCCCTTGAACTCATGTGCCCTCACCCTCTGTCTCTTTTGCTTTCTGTCCATTTGTTCTTCATTTTAGGATGCATATGCTGTTCGTTTTTGTTTACGTTATATTTGTATTTTAATAGGAATTTATATGAAATAGAATATTAATTCTGTGTACTTTATTTACTTTAGGTTCAAACAGTTTCACTTTTAATGAAATTTTTAATAACACTTATAAATTTCAGAATGCATACAATTGAATTATTTATTTGTAGTAGTAAAAACATTCCCAAATACTGTAACATCATCTGCTATCACAGCTGTTGACTACTCATTTTTCATTTTTTCATCTTTGCCATAGACAATTTTGCTTTATGTTGATAGTCTGTGATTATCATTTTTTCATAACTCTACAGTAAACAAGTTCTCTCTCTCTCATCTCTCTCTCTCTCTCTCTTTTTTTTTTTTTTTTTTTTTTTTTTTTTTTTTTAAGTTGGGACTCAGTTAATCTGCCATCAAATAATCGGAAGTTAACTTCACATGTAAATGGCCTTTGACTTGAGAAAAATCTCATTAAAGGCGAAACAAAGATCAGAATTTTCCCTTTATACACCTACTATGTGTTTTGGTAGGCTTTTTTTAATTATGAACTATTTTTAGTTATACAAATAATTTATAGATTCATATACATACACAATGATAGCCAGGTTATCTTTCACATGTGAAAAAAAGCATGCCAGGTATGTAATGGAAAAGTACACAAAAGGATTTGATCATCAGGTGCAGTTTCAAAGGCTTTGATTTTTTTCCCAACATTTTTCAAGTTTTCTGATTAAAAGTTCTCAGTAAGTCATATCTCACTACTCATTGATTAATAGAGAAGAAATTTACATGGGATTGCAAAAAATGAAGCTTTAGAGACTTGTTATTATCCTATGGCTTTACATGATTTCTAAAATATTATCCACTAATATGTATAGTTTTTGGTGCTATGTTTCATGAGAAATTTTTTTAAACTTTCTTGAAAGATTGTCTTACAGTTTATGAAACAATTAAACTGACCAAATTTCTAGTCTGGGAATGCTTTTGTAATTTGTGATCTTACAAAAATATTTCCTTTTATTTTACTGTTTGTATCTTAGCCATTTATGTCTTAGACAAATTCTTGCTATTCTTATGAATTAACTTGACAAAGTTCTTCATAAATTTTACTGTAATGTCTCATAGGGAGAAATGCACTTTTATTCATTGCCCTCTATTTCATAGATTTGTTTTAAAGCATGACCTTATTATACAATTAATTGGAAATCAGAATTAAGGTATAATTATTAGAATTCGAGTCAGAAAAATAAGTGGCTTGAAGATGCAATTAAAAAATATATACATTTTAATTGACAGTTTAACAAATCGACCAAGCTGTAAAAACATGTATAGCACCAAAATGAAGTCCGTAAAAACACAATGGGTTGTAGAAAAGGTATAAGTGTTTATCTTGGATTATGCATAAATTCATTGTAAATGTGCATTACATATTCAGTGACACAATTTATGCTGATCAGTATTATCAAATGAATATGTGTTCGTAGTGAGGGAGCAATAAATATGTATATAATGTGATGCTTTTTATAATATCCTCTTAAAGGAAAAGGACATTATAATGAATGGTCACCATAGCAAAAATCAATTTAATCTATAAGGTATTTCTCCTGCCTTCGTAGTGTAGTGGTCTGCATGCTGGGTGTGTACTCCAGAGGTCCGCGGTTCGATTCCCGGCGAGGGCGTTGCTCATTTTTCATCTTTCCTGCTTCCTCCCCCAAAACCCTATTATCTCTACAAATCTAATTTTATCAGTTTTTTTTAATATTAGTTATTGTAGTGAAATGGTCACTATAATGGCATTGATTATGTGTGTGTATATATATATATATATATATATATGGGTGTGTATAATATATAGATAGATAGATATAAAATAGTAAAGACAAATCTAGCAAATGAACTTCTCTCATAAAATTGTTTCAGTCAATCGTGGTATTTTGACAAGTATTTATTGCGTAATTTATCATAGCTTTTAAATGATGTTAGTTCCTCTGCTCAACAGTAGATAAAACACAGCACTGTTAAGAATAGTATTCTGAAACTACTAAACCAACTGCCAAATCGAATGTTCTTTTTTTGTTTACAACATTTCATGCTGCAACTCCACATATTTTCTTGTACGTATTTCATTTCCTGGCCATTTACGTATATTTGATTGTGAGGTAACTATATCTTTTTCCTGGAAAAAGGATATGGCGTCTTCCTCACTTCTTGGTAAATTAAAAATTTCAAAATTTTTTTTACAATGTTTAAACTCAAAAAAAGACTACTGCAATATTATGCTGCTCATCAAATTCGGCAAATAGAAGTTGAAAGTACTTCTTCACATAAATGTTTAAACTGAAAAAAGATCATTACAATATCACGCAGTTCATCAGATTTGGCAAACAATTGAAAAAGAAAGGGAAAAAGAACTATTATTATTTCATGCAGTTTACATAATTTGATGGTTTATTGCAGAGGCCGTGAAAATCAGTTAGTACCAATAGAAGCTACCATTGCTTATTATTGTAATTATTGTAATCTTTAGTCTTATAGAGTTTGCAAGATAGAATGATGTTGCATGTCATATATATATAAAGTTTTATAAATTTATGAATTTATATTTTTTTGTAATAGAAGAAGAAAATCTGCAGAGTAAATCCCAGGCAGAGGCTAAAATTGCTCGTCTTGAAAAGGAGCTGAGAATGGCTAAGGATTTGAGAATATCAGAAAGAGACTATCTTCAGAAACAATATGATGAACTTTATCAAAAAGTAAGATTGGGCATCTTTTTGCATCTAATATTTAAAATATTATTTAAGTGAAATGAATTTTTTCCTTATTATTTCTTTTGTTTTTCTGTATAATTGATACATAATGTTGACTATTAAGAGCTTATGTGTGTAAGTCTGATAGACAGTTAGAATTTAGAATATTTTGCACTCTTTCTTGGTAAAAGGAAATTACAAAAATAACTCATTGAATATAAAGTAAAATTTTAGCAATTGGCATGAAATGTAGATTAAACAATCCATATGTTGAAGTAATTATTGCTTCATTATTGCAAGTAATATTTTGTTAAATTATGTCGTGATTTTTACATACTGTATTAGCCTAGATTATGGAAAAGTCTAGATGCAATAGTTTGTAAGCATTACTGCAAATTATGTAATAACTCTGAAAAGAAATCTGTATAAAACTGCTTTTAAAAAAAGTTTATGAGTGTAAAAGAAATTTATTTGTATAAACTGATTCTTCAATATTTGCAAAATGAGAAAATTATTATATTGTTGATGCAATGTTGGCCTTTACTTTAGTAAATGAATTACACATTTGCAAGTAAAGATATGATTTTTGAAGAAAATGAGTAAAACTACCTTATTTGTTACAGGTTTCACAGCAACAGAAGCAGACTGCTAAATCGACTATGGTTTTAGGGGATAGATCTAGGTATGGAATTTGTTTCAACTATTTTATAGATGTTATCTGTGACACCCAAGTTATATTTGCCATAGCTGACTATGACTTACTTTTCTTTCAAATAAATATAAATAAATTTTGAAACACAAATAAAAGTCAATTAACATCCTTAAGGTACTTCAAATTCATGCAGGAAAAACTTCTAAAATAAAATTCTTTTAGGAGTTGTCATTTTTACATCTATAAGTAAATGAACTTGTTAACTGCTTTTCAATTTGTAAATGATTTAAAAAAAAAAATGTTGCCACTTTTTTTTTTTAATTTACTTAGTATTTATTGGTTTGCTTCATTTTTGTATACGAGTGAGAATCAAATCAAAAAATTGCCTCCTTAAAATTTTTAAAATAGTTGTTTTATAAAGACAGAGCATGCTTAAGTTAAAAAAAAATAAAATAATAATAATAATGATAATAATTTGTTAGCATAAAAGTTTAATTTTTAAAAATCACTCCGACGGTGTTTTTGAGATCTTTTCACTTCAAGTTTATGATTGAGAATTTCATAAATAGAGTATAATTATTATTTTTAATTTAGCCATGTTTTACAGTTGAGAAATTTAATAATTTGTGAAATTTCTTGGTGGTTTAAGAAAACAGTGGTAGAAATATATTATATTCTGAAATATATTTTTTTCTTAAGGTCATGTTTTGTTTTGCTGATAATATTCATTAATCCGTATGAATTATACTTTTGCAGTATTTAATTATTAATGCCTTATTATGAGCTCTTAATGAAAAGCACATTTTGTACATGTTCAACAGTGGTAGTGGAACAGAGCCTCTAACTGCTAATATTAAACCTCTGACATCTCCTTCTACTTCTGGAACAAGCTCAAGCCTCAGGCATTCTCCTCATCCTCATGCTGCTTCAAATATAAATCGTCCGACCCCCACTGCAAGTATACGTCCAATGGCCATTGGTACTGCCTCTTCTACTCCTCCGACTCAAGCACGAATGGCGGCTGTATTGCCAACAACGGCTACACCGCCTCATTCTGAAGAAGGTATTTTGTTTAAAAATGAAACAATTTTATTTATCTGTTTGATAAGTATACATTTATTTATGCCAACTGCAGCTGGAAGTAAGCTCGCAGTCCTTAAGAGTTCTATTAAAAAATCTGTGTTTGTACTTATAAACAATTAGTTTTTAAATATTTTGGAAATTTAAAACAAATTATAATTATAAATAATCAAATTATGCAAGTATGTAATTACATTTGAATGATTATACATATTAGTCTAAATAAAACGTGAGAGAATATCCCAATACTTTTTGTGAATGATATATTATAACAGTGTGTGAAAGTTACACTTATTATAAGTAAAAAGCAGTTAAGTTTATGAATAAATGCCATTTAATGGAAATATTAATAAATTTGACTATTGATTCTTCACTTTTCGAAAGCCTATTGACCAAAACTGCGTGTGTGGGGGTGTCTTGTAAACATAAATCTGATTACAATATTGAATCCAGTGTTCTTCAAAACATTAAAATGACTCAGACGCTGGCAAAATGCTTTGGAGAAAAGAAACTTTTCTTGGACATATATCACAGTTTTTGCATGCTTGAAAGTATGAGAATGTTTCTTAATGTATGAAAAATGAAATTGCATTTACAATGCACAGTTATTAATTACAAACCATGAATTTTAGGTTAATTTGTGCAAAATTGACCTTCAGTAATTTAATTTGTGCAAAATTGACCTTCAGTAATTTAATTTGTGAGCAATATGTAATTTGTACTATACAAAATAGTAAAATACAAAACTATGCATATTGAGTACTCAGTGTTTATGCATAAGTATTTGTAACTTTAAATATAAATAAACTTGTTTTAGTATATATTTATTTTGTTACCATGCAGTGGTATATTCTGTAATTTCCTCAATGTAAGTTGCATTGAGATTTTTCCATTGGATTTTATTTTGATCTCTTCAGAAATATAATTTTTTGGGTATTTTTTATTTTTATGTGTACAGATGTTATGTATGTTCAATACATTTAGATGTCAATACATGTTTTAATAGATGTTTAGACATTATTTATGTTTTTATTATGCACTTTAGTTGGGTAGATTTTTATGTATATATAATTTAGATTGAAATTAAACCAATACTATTCAATTTAGGCTATTTTTTTAAAATAAACCCGAAATTAAGTATCCTATTGAAGTTTAGTGTGTGCAAAATGCAAAAAGAGTGATTGCAAAATTGAAAAGGTGTTGGATTACCCATTTCGGACTGCTTTGCAAATTTAAAGTACAAAACAATATTTTTCTTATCAGTCTAATCCTACAGCTGGAAGGAGCAAGATTTGTCCCGTTTATGCAAAACTAAATCTGTTACAATCCATTTTTCTTAAGTATCTAATCCCTATTCATTTCAAATTTTGGTTTGATTTGGTTTATTTAATTATTTCAAAGCACTAGAGGTTTCTCCAAGGTTTCACTTGTCACTTGTTCACTATTTTTGAGTCAATTTTGGTTTGTCTAGTTTTATTTAAATTATTCAATTAGCAAGTTTTCCGTTTAATAAATGGAATTCAATTCAAACTAACTAAACAAACTAAAGTGGCAGTAATAAAACAGTGAAATAATGATCATTCAAAGAACTTTAAAATCAAGTGGAGGTGTAAAAAAATCATTTACTCCCCCAAAAAAAGGTTTAACTTTAAAAAAAAAAAAAAAAAAAAAAAAAAAAGATAACTATTAATTTCACCCAAATATTTTAAAAAATTTATCTAAAGCAGGAGCTCTCACCCTTTTTTTGAAAGGTCATTCTTCCTTTCCAAAACTCAATAAATAAACATATACACTTATCTTGCTTTAACTGATTTTTTAATGTATTTTATAAATTAAATGAGAAAATGTGTAGAAAAGATATATAAGTACCAAAATTTGAATAAAAGTTAACAGCTAAACAAAAGGCTGACTGCATTCCCCCTAAAACTTTCCCACTGTTTGAGAACCTGTGGTTTAAAGGTTAAGGAGCAAACTAATATTACTACATAATAATTATATTATTACCAGCAAACAGAAAATTGTTAAAACCATTGTCAAAAAGCAAATCTTTAATACATCCACAATCTTTAATATTATCTGGTATGAATTTTTAAAACTTATATACCATCTTTGCTGCTTAATGAAATTTACATTCGTTTAACTGATTTTGGAAAATGGGATACATATCTAAAATGTACATTATTTTCACAATTTTATTAACCAAGAGAAAAATTTATCTTGAAACTAATAGTATTCCAATGAATACGAACTTTTTTACTGCCATTTGTAATCTTTTTCTCAGCTATCAGTCTAATTTGCTCATTTAAACTATAGTTTTTCATGATCGGCTACACATAGACTGGATAATTTAACACAGCTGAATTAGACATTTTAATGAAAATTCTTACTATTTGTAATAATTTTTTATTGGTTATTTAATAATTGTTCCTCTAACTGTTATTAACAAAATGGACTTCTCAGTTTTTAAAGCAGCCCTCTTGTGTGAAAATTTGTAATCTGAAACCAAAAACCACTTATTTCCTTTTCTTGCTTTTTTACTCTTTAACCGCTTCCCTATTATTCCTTGCTTTTTTACTCTTTAACCACTTCCCTATATATTTAAAAAAAAAAAAAAAATATGTAAAAAATCATCACTTTTTTTAATTTTATTATTAAATACAAGGAAACGAAACAATTATTATTCTAAAACTTACAATACTATCGTAAATTTAAGGTAAACTCACTTCTTTTCCTAAGGCATTATGAGTACTTACCACACCACATTAATGATTATTTATGCTCAAGAAAGATTTTTTTTTTTTTTTTAGTCCAAAGGGGCTTTGACCCTGAAAGACTATTGTTTTCGTTTTGTGATTTTGCGTCGGAACCCTATAAACAGCGTATCACTTTTCAAATCATTGCTACCAAATACTATCGCCCTGTATTATTATATTTGAAGAAATTAAATAATGAAAAATCTGCATAAATGTATGTATATTTCTCGCATTGTGATAAGACAACGGTACATAGAGCCATCCAGTTTTGAATGACGTAATCCTACTACAAATATGGGCATGTGGAAGCCCAAATTTGAAATTTGGAATTTGTGTTATTATCAATTTCATATTTTGTAAAACTTTAACGAATTTTTGATTAACAAACTCAACGATTTAAAAGCAAGCAATGGCAACACTGTACTGGGGGGGAGACCTTTTTATCTCCAGTGTGCGGAACTGTGTATCGGAAATTCTAAAGATTTGCTCATTTTAAAATTATTTTGCGACATTGCTGTTGAACTGAATTTTATGGTTTAAGTGCAAAGAACATATTTAATAAATAAAGGTAACACACAAAATGTTAAAGAAACGCCTTTTTGGACGTATTTTAAAGCCTGAAACCTTTCAGACTTTTTTTTAAACCTCTAAAACTTTATTTACAGCTTCATTTGAACTACATGTTAGATTTTTCATCTAACATCATATCATCATTTTCTTATCTTTGAATGAGCATCAGTTTGGTATTTTATGATTTTCACTTTTATAGTTTACTTAGTTATCTTAGTTTGATTATTCAAATTATTCAATTTTTGAATAATATTTGATTCAGTTATTTATTTTATTTACTTATCTAAATACTTGTTTTATAACTGAATACAGATTTGTCCATTTTATTGTTTTACTGCTTTTAATTTTGTTTGTATTGTGTTTAAGTAATTGTTCTGCATGATTTGATTTGTGTTATATTTCTTTAATTCAAATGGATATTGGTATTTTTCTTGCAACATGCAACATTTAGTTCATTGGAGTTATGAAAAGCCTTATGAATAATAATTTTATATTTGTGAATGGGACTTTTATATCATTGACTTGCTAGATTTAGCATGTGTAGCTTTAAGAAGTAACTTTCTTTACTTTCTTTTAAATAGACTCTGTGTCAGTTGTAGCTCCTACTGTACCTGTGACTGTTCCACATGCAGCTGTACAACCCACTCCGGCTACTGCCACTGTAGCCCCCACAACTGTAGCAGCAACAGTGTCACCAGTTATTTCTGAAGTTGTTCCTACTGTAGGTAAGTTACTATTTTTCCCCCTTCTTGATGATAACAAGATTCTTATTTGTCTGAAAATTCTGAAAATACAGTGAAGTAAATAAAAAAGTAGTGTAGGTTAGTGATCATGAAAGGCTCCAAGTATCCAGAGGTGTAGTTACGAGATGCTGTTTGTGGTCGGTAACTTTTCAAGGATTAAGCAAAGTTCACACACAACATTTATTTTGATGATTAAACACTATATACGATATTATATACATATTTCATGGTGGGACTACAGGATTTTAGCCCTTTCGACGCTTGAAGATATGCTTCTGCTCATGCTGAGTTACAAGATCTAACTCTTTTGGCGCGCCAGCGCCACCTGTAGTAATACTTCATAATACACTGGCCCGCGATGAACAACTGTTCACCATAAGCTTCAAATTTAGAATTATTTTAATACAGTATTCAATATTAACAAGATTTTCAACAATATTATGACAAGTTAAATTTAAAGTTAAAATATGAATTTCAAAATCTCCATAAGCTGAAAGAGAAAATTATTAAGATACTTACTATATTTGGACACAAACATTACTATGAAACTAAAATGAAACTAAAATACAAATACAATGAATTATGTGTGAAAATAAGAATAAAAATTTTAGAGTCATTAAATTTCACGATGGCAAAAGAGTTATGGTGAGAGTTTGTTGATAGGATGCTTAATTGCACCATTGATAGTTTTTAAGACCACTACTCGCACTTTTCCATCAGATCCTGGGTAAACATTAATTGCTCTACCTAGACGCCACCTTAAAGTTGGTAAGTTATCATCTTTTACCAGCACCAAGTCATTGGTATTTAATTTTGATTTGTTCTTTAGCCATTTTGCTCGTCCTTGCAATTGGGAAAGATAATCAAATGACCATCGTTTCCAAAAGTGCTGAAAAATTTGCTGAATCAGTTTCCAACATTCTATAGGCGTTACCTTATCGTCAATCACATTTGGTTCATGAATGGTTGTTATAACGGTTCCAGTAAGGAAGTGACCAGGTGTTAAAGCGCTTAAGTCATTAGGATCATTGGAAATCATCACTATAGGTCTGGAATTTAGGCAAGCTTCAATTTGAGTTATCAAGGTAAGAAATTCTTCAGATGTGAGCAGTTGAGCTCCTATTGTATGTTTTAAGTGATTTTTCATTTGCTTAATGCCATTCTCCCAAAGACCCCCAAAATGTGGGGCAGAGGGAGCATTGAATTTTCAAACAGTGTTTTCATGTGTTAACTGATTCTGGAACTTTTCTGATGATAAAATGGGAGCCATAATTCTTTTTAATTCACGATTTGCACCAACAAAGTTAGTTCCTTAATCAGAAAACATCTCTTGCGGTTTGCCCGAACGGGCTACGAACCTTCTTAATGCTGAAAAGGAAAACAAAAAGGCTTCTGAAGAAAGATCACTCACAACCTCCAAGTGTACTGCTTTTGTGGTAAAACATATGAACAGGCATACATAGTACTTGATGGGCTTTACTCCTCTCCCCTTTTTTGGGGGTTTCACAAGAAATGGCCCTGCATAATCAAGGCCTACTTGAGAAAAAACTCTGCTTGGCACAACTCGAAATGTCGGAAGATTGGCCATTATTTGTGATGCAGTATTTGTACAATATCTGAAGTATTTCATGCAATTTCTAATAACTTTCCGTATTGCGCCTCTACAGTTAATTATCCAATATTTCTGTCGGATAGCCAAAATTGTAAGTGAAGGTCCTCCATGAAGATGAGTTTCATGAAAATACTTAATTATTAACTCTGTTATGTGATGCTTCTTAGGAAGAATTGCCAGGTGCTTTTGATTTTCAGGTATGTTAGCATTCCTTAGCCTGCCTCTAATGCGAAGAATATTTTCGTTATACAAGAAGGGATTCAAGAAGATAATTCTGCTGTTAGGGCTGATGTTTTCCCCTGCTCTTCATCCGAGATTTCAGCTTTAAATTCACTTTCTTGATCTAAGCGCACAATAATGTCTGACGCTCTATTGAGCTCAGGAAGAGTTAAAAACTCCTTTAACTTTGAATGTTGAAGAACTGGTATTTTTCACAAATCTAAGACACCATGCTACTACACATTTCAGCTTATTCCAGGATGAAAATTTAGTAAGAAGCTCAAATTCATTTTGACTACTGGATGCAATGCACACCACAGTTTTTTGCTGTTCTTCAAGAGAAAGTTCCTGAAGTTTAGGATCTAAAATAAGTTCAACCCTTTGATTACTGAAGTTACCTTGCCTTAGCCAAGGTGGACCGTGAAACTAAAATTCATTGTCTATTAGATTTATCAACTTTGCACCTCATGATACAACATCTGTTCGGTTTTCAGATCCCTTGCAAAACTGCCATTGAGAAGGAGTGATTAAATTATGTATCTCTCTAACACGATTTGCTACGAAAGACTTCCAATTATTGGCAGAGCCCTTTATCTAATGAAGTACTATCTGAGAGTCACTAAAGCAATAAATAATGCATTCCTCGATGTTAAAGAGCGTTTTCAGATAATTTGCTATCCTAGCAGCAATAGTAGCTGTCATCAGTTTCAAGCGAGGAAGTGTAACCTTCTTTAGAGGAGCTACTCTGCTTTAAGATAGTGCAAATGATGTATCCAAAGTAGTGGGATTTTGAAGATATGTTATACTACCATATCCTTTGATACTGGCATCTGTGAAAACAATTAGGATCATATTTTTGCATTAATTGCTGAACAAAAAATATCTTCTAAGAATATTAATGTTAACGAGATCCTCGATTTCAGAATGCCATGTCAAAAACTTCCTTCTTAGCTCATCAGGTACCTCGGAATTCCAATCACAACCAGATTCCCATATAATTCTTGAATCATAAACTTAGCTCTAATTACATATGCAGAAATAAGTCCAATTGGATCACAAGTTTTGGCTACAGTTTGCAAAATGAGTCTTTTAGTTACTGTTTGTTTATCAAGCGATTCCCTGAATTGTGTTACATCTAAACTTAAACTGGCTTGATGTGTATCCCACTTCAAGCCTAGAACTTTTCACGAGTTTTTATTTAAATTATTTTCCTAAACATTGCTTTCATTTTTGACTCATAATTCTCTTAGAACTCAAGAATTGCTTTTCATTTTACCAAGATGTATGTTTAAATCTTTCAGAATACTCACTGCAGTAGTTGACAGATAAAACGCTTTATCATCATTTTTGGTCCCGTGCAAAATATCGCCCACATACAAGAATTTATCTAACATTTCTACAGCATCATTATGGTCCTCTTTATACGTCTTTATATGGTATTTAATAGTTGCTGCAAGTGTGAAAGGTGATTGACAAGTACCAAAAGGCAATCGTAACATTTTGTATATTTGAAATGGCGAATTTTCATCATTATTGAACCAAATAAATTTTAAATAATTTTTCAAATCTTTGTCAAGCAAAATAGGATGAAATGCACTTTTTATATCTGTCTCAAAGTTTATCTTGTGTAACCTAAATTAAAAAATGATATCTAATAAATTGCTATACAAGTTGGGTCCTTGGATTAGACACTCGTTCAGAGATTTTGCACCTTTGTCTTTAGACGAACGGTCATAGACAATACGCACAGCAGTAGTTGTCTTGTTGATGCGAATTACAGGACTATGAGGGGCAAAATAGCTATCCCTCTCAATTTTGCAATTAACAGCATTAGAACGTTTTTCAATTATTCCTGTTTGTAATTATTCGTTAATTAATTTCATGTATTCACTAAATAACCATTCATTATGTCTCAATTTGTTTTCTAGCTTCAAAAACCTCTGTTTAGCAGTGAGAAAATTATTTTTAAGCTCTGATTTTCTTTCCTTAAATAATAACTTAACAGTGCATTTTGCATTTTTGCAATGTAAATTCTTATTAAACAGATCAATAACCTCTAAATCTTCCTGCAATAACGAATCACTGTCTCTCATAAAGAATTCCTCTAGACGCCAAAATGACTGAATGTTGAACAGAATTGCTGACTTAGCATCTACTTCTTTAACTGAAGCATAACAAGTATTAACATTTGAATCATTTTGATTTGGTAAAAATTTTTCCAAACATCCGCAAATTGTTTCTCCAAATAATGTTGGAATTAAAAATAACTCATCCGATATTTTTCTTTTTAGGCCTGTTTGAATAGACGAGAAATAATTCATACTGATTAAAACGCTTATTTTTGTTTCACTCCGATCATCTGCTAGTTGACGCTTTTGCTTTCTCATAAATTCTATCACGAACGGTGACAGTTGACCTTAAACTGAGCTATCGTTATGGAATATGTTATCTGTTATGTAAATATTCTTTTTGACAGATCAGTTCTACATTTCAAAGTTATTGAACTAACAGGAAATTCCTTTTCTTGGCAATTATTTCCAAAGAAATGAACTTTTAACTTCTCTTTTCTTTTTATAGGCAAATTTAGTTTGTTTGCTAAATCTTTAGAGCAATAGCTTAATTCTGAACCTGAATCAATTAACACTCGACATCTTTTTTTTTATATATAATATATATATATATATATATAATTGCATGACAACCGAACATGTTTGTAATAATACGGATTTTTCATTCAACTGTGTAGTAGACGATATAGTTTTGTTTTCGTTTGCACTTATTTCCATCTTAGAATTCTGAATTTCTGGTTTGTTTTTAGATAAACAAAATAGTTTATTATGGGATGATTTCTTACAAATTTCACAATCTTCTATACACTTTCTACAGTGAACTGTCCTATGTTTCTTAAAGCAGCGATAACACAAATTAGATGTTTTTAAGTACTTCCGTTTTCTATCATCAGTATATCTCATACATTCAAGAGAATCATGTTATTTATAAATATTACAAAAACACAAAATTTCTTAACAGAATTGTTAAATGTAGACGTTGATGATTTATAATTTTTGAACCCTTGTTTAGGATTAACCCCTGTGTATTTATTACCTTTTTAATCAACATGTTTGCTTCTCTCGGTTATCAGTTTCGATTT